TTTGAGTTAGAGTCTCACTCTGTTGCCCAGACTGGAGTGCAGCGACACACTCCCGGCCACAGCAGCCTCAACCTGCTGGGCTCTGGCGATCCTTCCACCTCAGCCTTCCTAGTAGCCGGAACTACAGGCACACGCCCCCGTGCCTGGTTAACTTTTTGATGTATTGTAAAGATGAGATCTAGCCAAGTTGCCTGGGTGGGTCTTGAACCCGCGGGCTCAGGCAATCCTCTCGCCTCAGCCTCCCAAAGTGCTGGGATTACAGGCTGAGCCACCGAGCCCGGCCTCTTTGACTCTTTCTATCTCTGCTCTCCGGGACAGTCGCCTACCGTGGTTCAACTGTTCTTTCAGACATCCCAAACTGCCAGCGGGATTCCTTGAGGGCAGCATAAGCGGACCCAGGAACCAGGATGGCCTTGGCAGGACAATTCGGCTGCGGCTTGGGCTCTGCGTTTTGGCTTCGGGACTGGCGGAAACTTTCAGGACCAGAGACAGCGCCCCAGGTTGCCCCTGTGTCCCCGGAGCTGGGACTTGAGGGTTTGAGGAACGTCCCTGTGGGGATAGCCTGGGAACGTGCCTGGGACTGGGATCCCTCACGCGCCGACACCCAGGGGGAGCTAGATTATGCAGGTGAACTGCAGGATTGAGGGGTAAGAGTTCAAATCCCAGCGCTGCCACTTGCTGTCTGGAACCTTCTGATGGGCTAAAAAATGAAAACGACTTAACAGGAAAAGTTCAAAAGCCGAGACCATTTACAATATCAACAGTGTCCCTGAAGTCCTGTATTTATCCAAATCTTTGTGTCTATGTTATTCAGGGGGGTCTCTTGGGGTGCCTGGTATTTGGGGTTCTCCCTTTCTTGCTATTTTGTTTACCAGTAGTGTGCCATCTATTTCTATGAAACCTTGTTGGCCAGGTGTAGTGGCTCAGTCTATAATCCCAGCACTTTGGGAGGCAGAGGCGAGAGGATTGCCTGAGCCTGGGGGTTCGAGACCAGCCTGGGCAACTTGGTGAGAACTGGTCTCTACAATAAATCACAAAAACTAGCTGGACAAGGTGGCATGTGTCTGTAGTTCCAGCTACTTGGAAGGCTGAGGGGGAAGGATTGCCTGAGCTCAGCAGGTAGAGGGTGCAGTGGCCATGAGCATGCCACTGCACTCTAGCCTGGGCGACAAGAGCGAGACTCCAACTCAAAAAAAAAAAAAAAAGAAATCTTGTTTTGCTTTCTTGTTTTTTGAGATCGGCTCGCACTATGTTGCCCAGGCTGAAGTGCAGTGACTATGCACAGATGCAGTCATGGTGCACTACAGCCTTGACCTCTTTCTTGGGTTCCAGCAATTCTCCTGCATCAACCTTCTTCTGAGTACCTGGTACTACAGGCATGCACTCCCGTGCCTGGCTGGCTTCCATGAAATCTTGATGACCACAGGACAACCCATGGGCCTTCGAACTGCTTGACTGAGGTGTAATTGACATGAAACAAACCAAACTTCTTTAACTCGTCCTCAACCTGCTTAACTTGTCTCATCTACGACCAAGCCGGACCTGTCCACGTTATTGTTTGGTCTCTTGTTTAACTAGGACAAGTGTGCACATACGTGTGCACTCACAAAACCAACAGCACAAAGAGGTTGGGAACTTCCTCACCTCCCCCAAGAGTCCTCGTGTCATTTTGTTGTCATCCTTTCTGTTATCTTCCCCCAACGCTCCCTCCCCCGTCAACCTCCGATCTGCTTTCTGTCACTGTCATACACAGTAGGCAAAGAACCAGAAAATTAGCCGCAAGGCCACTTAGAGTCTGTGGCGGGGGGGTGTCTCTGGAAGTGTCCTGCTGCTGCCCACAGGTGACCTGCGTGTGATTCCTAGTCCTAATAAACTCACCTACACCCAAGCTGGACTTATCCATGTCATTGGTCTCTCGGCTTTGTCCCAGCTTGGGGGTACCTTCCTCTCTTTAGTTCTGGGTCTTTCCTATAACAGTTTCCCCTACTCCTGGTCCTGCTTCTGCTTCTCTCTCCCAAGAGTCCAATGCGTAGGAGACACACCTGTGACGATGAGGCAAGAAAATGCCAATCATGTCTAAAACCCTGCATCTTTTTATTGACTTGACCAGATCTGAAAACTGCACATTTTTTCCCCCATTTGAAAAGCTCTCGGCTGGGCGTGGTGGGTCACACCTGTAGTCCCAGCACTTTAGGAGGCTGAAGCGAGAGGATTGCCTGAGTCCAGCCTGGGAAACTTGGTGAAACCTAGTCTCTCTCTATAAAAAAAAAAGAGCCGGGCATGGTGGTGCATGCCTATAGTTCCAGCTACTTGGAAGGCTGAGGCGGAAGGATCGTCGGAGTCCAGCAGGTCGAGGCTGTGGTGGCCGTGAGTGTGCCACTGCACTCCAGCCTGGGTG